TAGATCTAAGTTTTGGTTTGCTGATGTGGCACCCCAGGCAGGAGCTGCTCCATCTTGGGCCTGGAAATTTATTTCAACAGTATAAAACACACAATTCTTCCAGAAAATACAAGAATGCATTGCTGTCCTGACTCCCGTCTAGAAGGAGGGCTATAGAAGTCTAGGGAGAGTAAGACGCCCCGGTTCTCAAGGCTCCGCTATGGGAAGAGGCCCGACTCCTTCCGTGGTTGACAGTGAGGGTGGGGGTTTTTGCCGTGTTACCGCAACTCACCATTTATACAGCTCACAGAACGGATTCAGGAAGTAGCGGCTGTGTAATAGGAGGGCTCCATTAAACCCAAGGCTGTGTGTACCCCGAGATTCCGATACATGATGGACATAAAGAGGACCTGGAGGGTGTCTTTGCATGGCTCTGAGGAGAGGTTCATCCTAAGGGAGGTGAGAACGTTCAAAGGGCACAAGACCAGTGTGAAAGAAAAGGCAATTCTGAGTGTGTTCCTCAGGACTCTGCTTCCACCCAGTTCCTTCCAAGGATGAGTGTTAGAACCTGAGCAGGGAGGCAAAAGAAAAATATCTAAGAAACATTTTACTGAAACCTCTGAGGGACCTATGAGCATAGGACTTTTTGTTTATGGGAACAGGTAACAAAGTGGACATGAGAGAAATTCTCAAAGGCTGTATGCTGCCACCTGTGACACACTTGGGACAGTGATGGCTTCAATGGCTTTGGCACCTTTCTTACAGACAGAATGTAACCAAAAGCAGCAGGAGAGGAAAAAAGCGGCTGATGCCATGCAGTAGCAAATGTGTCTGGGAACACTCAAAGAGACACTCCCTTAAGTACAACCGGTACATCCATCCAGAGCTCGGGAGCCCTTTAGGGCGATGTGCAGAGCCAGCAGTTATTGGTGGGTCCTAAAGGCAGAGAAGCACCGAGACTCCAATTCACCTTTGGTCTGAAAAACACCAGCTGCATGCAGAGCGCCATCCAAGAGTAAGACAAGCAAGTATGATTATGTTTTTTACAATAATGTTGCCTAATTATGAAGTTTGTTAGCTCTATTTAATGTTTAACTTTCTTAAATTTCCATCGGCCAGGATTAGCAGGGTTTTTTCCTTGCACATTTTTTTTTTACAAAATATGTAATTCCAGATTATGAATTGAAATGACTTACTGTACCCTGTATCTTAACTTCCTATTAATTGAATTAATATGAAATCCTTGTCTAATTTGCTGTCTTATCAAGTTACCTATGACAATTTACCGTATTCCTTATTCCATGAGAATTAAGTGTGTTTCATAGGTATAAGAAGGCATTATCACAATGCATTGCAGAATCTGAATAAATTATATTCACTGACTAACACTCCTCTGTCATTTATGTTACCTCTTTCAAATAATTTAGTAGATTAGAAGGGAACTATTTTTACAAAACTATCTTCATCATGTTGCCATAAATCCACCTGCTACAAAAGTGCTTCATTGGGGCTGGCCCTGTGGCGGAGCAGATAAGTTCACGTGCTCCTCTTCGGCGGCGCAGGGTTTCACTGGTTCAGATGCTGGGCGCAGACATGGCACCAACTCGTCAGGCCGCGTTGAGGCGGCGTCTCATGTGCCACAACTAGAATATACAACTATGTACTGGGGGGATTTGGGGAGAAAAAGCAGAAAGAAAAAAAGCGAAGATTGGCAACAGTTGTTAGCTCAGGTGCCAATCTTTAAAAAAAAAAAGCTTCATTATCTTTACTCATTTTTTCCTAACAGATTTTTTTCCTTACTATAATCTGGTGAATTATTTGTAATTTCTTATTTTAAAGAATACTGTATTGGTTATACTTCATTTGCCACTGACCGTATCCATTCTTCACCCTTGTCTGCCCTACTATGTGCACCCTTGGAGACTGACGCTTTTAAACTGAACCACTGGGGCTCCCTTCCCCTCTGGCTTCTCACTAGGTTTGATGGTGGGAAGTGCCATTCTTGCAGGAAGAAAGAGGCCAGGGTCTTGCCTTGCCCTCTCCTGAGTGGCTGTGGTCCTGGAGGTGGCTGCATTCCTCCAAGGACACTGCTTCTTCCAGGCAGGCCCTCTTCCGCACACAGCTCCAGCTCTCACCTAGTTCTAGTAACACCATGTGTCCCCTTACTTCTTCAGGCCTAGGTGTGCTGGTAGCTGCCAGCCTTGCAAGTCCATGTTTGTATCAACATCCCTTGTTAATGCCCTTAACCCTGCTCACACCTCTGTTAATAGCCTCCCTTTTAAACCCTCTTCAGTTAAACTGAATTTGCCATGCGTTTCCTGCCAAGCCTTTGACTAATATAAACACGTAGTCAATATATTGCTACGTCAGACTTTAACTGAAGGGGTGGGATAAACCAGGAGAATCATATGAGTTAGCGAAAAGATTTTAACACTATGCTAATAATAACAATTTTCATAGTTCAAAGGAAACAAAGGCAAGAAGTCAAACCCTTCACAGCAGGTCCTCTTGTGGCTGACTTTAGTTTTTAACTCTGTCCTGAGGTCTGTGTCTTACTATATGAACACCACCTTCATTGTACTTCAGTGTGCAATGCTACACTTTCATCTTTGCTGAAACCCCTTCCATACATAAAAGGGATGGCCTTACCCCGTGAATTACCACGCCCCCAAAACAATACACGTCCACTATTTGGAGTTGTTCAGACAAGAGTAAGAGACTCCCTATGTCCATGAGCACTCTCCAAGGACTGTAGAACAGTCCCCAAGGACATCTACACTGCCATCCAAGCCTCTTTTCTCTCAAATGTGAGTTGTAAAAATGCCTCTTTATTCTCTCAGTTATCTAGCAGATAACTATTAGATCATACGTACACACACACACACACGCATGCATGTGCACACACACATCTTCTAAGGAGAAATATGAATGCTCAGAAACAGTATGTTTGTTGATAGAGTATTGGCTCACAAATATTTTTTTCATTGCACTGATAACTAATGAAGCTAAAAATCTAGATTTCTATCTTCTTTTGAAAATAATCAGCAGGCCAAGCCATACTGGGCCCCTATTTCTATATGGCCTTTACCCATTGGAGGTGCATAGGCATTGCCCTTTTTAGATAGGGCATCATCTCCCTCTATACCACAATCACCCTCACTGTGTTGCCTCTCTAGGCATGTCACTCATTCACAATGTCGGCCCAGACCCAGCAGACACTGGATTCTCAATCTCTGCTCCCACTCCTTTTCAAATTGTGTCCTCTGGAGTCTGTCAGAATAAGAAATAGGCCTATCGCTGAAGAATAAACCTCTTAATGATTGTTTCATTAGGAAAAACACTAGACCAAAGCTTTGAAATTACGGCTTATAAGGGTCTGACTAAAATCTTAAATAAGGTCCATTTGCCTTTCATATTTTAAGCCATTTGTTCAAGGTCTTTCCATCTCAATCTTGTGTGTTTAATAATTATTTATAAAATTTGCTGCTTTTTGTAAGTGGGTAGATGTTTTGCATCCTGATGTTGTCTTTTTCTATTATTTCATATTTTGTATACTTTTGAATACATTAGAAACTCTTAGTCAAACTGGTTTAGGTAAACTAGCTTTCAGTAAATTTGAGCTCACTCAATTATGCTTTTTAAATGAATGAATTATTAAAAGTTGTTTTCATTTGATCCTGTAGTGTGTTTCATCCAGTCTGAGTTAGTTTTATATGCTGCAGAATGTAGTATAGCACTAGCAGAGACATTCTTCTATCCCCAGTCCGGAATTCTTGTTTGAAGCCTGTCTACTACCATTCCAACCCATTATTTAAACTTGACCTTCTTCATTACATATAAAATATAATGCGACGCTTTACTTAATTTATTAAATCGTTATTATACTGAGGTTGTAATGCCCTAAATGGAATCTCCATTGCTGAGAAAAACTTTACACTTATTTTGAAAGTGCTAAAACTTTTTAAACTAGTTTGTGCACTGGGGCATCTCAGTGCCCATTTAAAATTTGCCATGGTCTAGTCACTGCTAGCTTAAAAATAATGATAAAGAAAAGATAGCTTTGTTACATTTCTAGTACACACCCTATTAACCAACTTCAATGTAATCAATTAATCAAATTAACTGAAACTTTCCAGTGCCTCACTAAAAATATTGACTGATTCAGCACCTTAAAAACTTGGCTAGTAATCCCCACCAATTCTTCCACTAGTAGAGTTTTACACTCAAGAGTTCAATGTTTCTCCAAATTTGTTTATGTTTGTTGATGAACTATGTGTACAAGAAAGAAAAAAGTGGGGTTTTTAATATGAAAATTAATCTAAGTGCTTTGGAAAGACTTGATAAAGGCAAGCTGCTAAAAACCATTGTTGCCAGATTTGAGGTAACAAGGCAACTAAAAATATGGAAAAAAGAATAAAAATTTAAAAGGATTCTTCCTTCAGATTGCTCCACACGTGCTTGTTCCATTTTAATGCAAATCCCTATAGCACCCTTATTATGTGCCAGACAAATGTGCTAAGTGATTAATATGTATTAACTCATTTTATTCTCTTATTAGGTAGGTACTATTATTACTATAATTTTACAAATGAGGAAATTAAAGCTTAGAGAAGTTAAGATGCTCTAAATAATTACATGGTGGAACCGAGTTTGAAACCTTAGAAGTCTGAGTTCTAGCTGAAAACTCTGGATAATCATAGGCAATGCATTATGTGTGTGTTTTATGGAAAAAGAAGACAATTCAGAACAACAATCAGCAGATCCATATTCAAAGAAGAGTTTAGCAGATCAATGAGTTTTATACATTTTAAGTGAAAAAAATGCTTAAAGAATGTGGTTATCATTTTATGCGATTAACTAACCAACCAGTTGAGTTGCAAAAGAAGTTTTCTTCTGTCAAAGGAAGTAAACATTGAATCACACTATAAAAAAATGTGTTTTCCCATAAGAGAAAGGATATAGAAAGAGTGTGTTTTCTCATAAGAGAAAGGATAAAATTTGACATTAAAAACAACTGAATAGTGCTCACTTCAGCAGCACATACACAAAAATTGGAATAATACGGAGAAAGTTAGCATGGCCCCTGGGCAAGGACGACACACAAATTCGTGAAGTGTTCTATATTTTTCAGAAGTCAAAATATAATGATGTACAACTGAAATTTATATAATATCCTCAATAAAAATAAATAAATAAATAAGTAGATAAATTTAAAAAATGAGCAGGAGAAAAACCTGAGAATAATCTTTTAAGCAAATGGTGCTGGGACAATTGAATACCTATCTGCAGAAAAAATGAACTTCAACACATACCTTACACCTTACACAAATTAGCTCAAAATGGATCATAGATCTAAATGTCAAACACAAAACTATAAGACTTCTAGAGGAAAACATAGGAGAAAATCTAGGTGACCTTGGGTTCGGCCATGAGATATTAGAAATCACACCAAAGGAACAATCTATGAAAAAAATGGATAAATTGGACTTTATTAAAATTAAAACGTTTTATTCAGTGAAAGACTTGTTAATAGAATGAGATGACAAGCCACACACTGAAAGAAGATATTTGCAATCCACATATTTGATAAAAGATGTATCCAAAATATGTAAAGAACTCAACTATAGTTAATAATGCTAAAATGAATATTTTTTGTCCATAAATTTTTGCTAAGCTTTTGACAATTAAAAAAAATAAGATGGGGTTCTAGAAGAACAATTGCTAGGTCAGAGAATATGAACTATTTGTAGCATGCATCTTAACTTTCAAAGAGTGGTAATATTTTATTTTTTGTGATAAAATTATTTTATTAAATCCAAATGATACAGGGAATAAAGTAAGAAGGAACATTGAAAAGAAAATGAAGAAATATAAACAGATAGTAGAATAAAGGCAGAAATAGGATTTGGAAACTAAAGAAATAATAATAACTAATCCTTAATAATGCTTACTACATGTCCGGTACTGTTCTAGGCACTTCACACACAGAATTCATTTTATTCTATGATAATCCTATGAGGTGAGTACTATGATATTACGCCCATTTACTAGATAAGGAGATTGAGGCAAAGAATTGTTTTAAAAAAAACTTGCCCAAAGTCATACAGCTAGCAAATAAAGAGAGGGCATTTGAACACAAGTTTGGCTCCAGTCTCTACTCTCAACTATTGTACTGCACTGTCATAGAAATCAACAAGCATTCCTCAAATGTCTACTATACACAAGGCATTGTATAAGACAGAACAAGAGAAATAAGAGCTTTGCTCACAGGAAATTCATGATATTATGAGAGAAATATGTAGCTAACTCACTAGGGGAATAAATAAGAGGAAACGACAGGGTGGGTGGGGAAAAGTCTCAGGGCTCAAATGCGCTAAGATGTCATTAGTGGCTTGAAGAATGGGTAGGTGTGGAAACTGAAAAGGATGTAAGAAACACTCAAAGGAGGCTGAATCTTAGGTAAATTGGTCATTAACAGCTCTGATCATTAAGTAAATAAGCTTTGGGGAAATTGGCTTCAGATTAATTTATTTTAGTTAACCAATTTTAGGTGACTGTTTTTGTTTTTATTTATTTAGAAGGATTGGTTTCATATAAAGGCTTTATTGGGATCCAGCCTTGTGCATAGTGGTTAAGTTCAAGCGCTCCACTTTGGTAGCCTAGGGTTTGCCTCTTCTGATTTTGGGTGCAGACCTACACACCGCTCATCAAGCCATGCTATGGTGGCCTCCCACATAGAAGAACTAGAAGGACTTACAACTAGGATATATAACTATGTACTGGGGCTTTGGAGAGGAAAAAAACAAAAAAGAGGAAGATTGGCAACAGATGTTAGCTCAGGGCCAATCTTCCAAAAAAAAAAAAAAAAAAAGGAAATCTAATTTAAAAAAATAAAAAATAAAGGCTTTATTGAACACCTGCTATGAAAACAAGTGGGAGTCTGAGGATACTGAATGGCTGTAAGTTGATTTCTGCCCCAGGGCTGCGAGTGAGAATCACCAGAAGGGCTTGTTAAAACCTGCAGTAGGTGTCACTCCCAGACTTTCTAATTCTCTAGGTCTAGGGTGTGACCAGAGAATTTCTATTTCTAACAAATTCCCGGGTGATGAGGTGATGCAGATGCTGCCTGTAGGGGACCACACTTAGAAAACCACTGCTACTTAGAGGAATCACAAACTAAGTGGGAAGGATGTTGGCATCTGGAAGGCCTTCACAGCTGAGACTGTAATAGAAGGATTTTGTAATAAGGGCAAGGAGGAAGGCGATTCTGGGTGGGGTGTGGCACCTCTAAAGGCAATTATTTCTAAATGATCTTTTCCTAAACAAAAGTCTGAAAGTGGGTTGCGTTTTCAGTACAGAGACACTTCTATTAGACATTTTATATTAGAAACTCAACACAAATTTATATAATGCTGTAGCAATATTGAAATAAAAGTATTTCAATTTTTGCATCATTTCTGGTTGTAACTAACTACCTGGGAGGTAAATATAGTTGATTTTTTAAGGCAGATTTTGACATTTAAGAAAATGCATAAGGCCAAAGGGTAGGAATTTTCATTACTTAGGTTTACTTTCAGTAAATCAAATCGCTGTTTTGTATAATGTTATCCAGCAGGACTTGTTCCATATTAAGAATCAAAAGAACATTGTAAATGGATATTAATAATACCTCAAATATACTTACATTTTAGTAGGGAATTAAAGCCAGCACAATAATAATGTACATTTATCAGTGATTATACTGAGACATAATGCTGGTCAATTCTTCAAAGAGGCAGATAGAGCTAAGAACAGGAGTTTGAAATAGAAGGAAAAAAAGGAAATCCTTTAAAGAACATTCATGTTCTAAATAGAATTATGAAACAAGAGGGATTTTGTACCTATTAGTCAAAAGCTGTCATTCAACATTGGGGTCAACCAACCACCTGCCCTGGCACTTAGACTGGGAGAGGTATCAGGCATAAGGGGCACCCGCTAAGGGTGGATTGTGTTCTGGGAGTTACATGCCACAAAGGAAAACTTTTAATTTCCAGAACAGTTTGTAAATGCAACTGTGAATGCCTAATTCACATGAACAACATGTGGAAGGGAAAATGCTGTTCAGAAGACAAAAGATGAAGAGAGGTAAATATCCAAAGCCAAAGAAATTTAATAAAAATCCACGTGAACATTAAATGAAGTGAGGGAAAAACTCATTTCTGCATACAAACAAGTTTCCCCCTAATTAAGCAACTAGCTTAATTCCAAAAAACTACAGGAAAAGACTCAATAAAAATGTAATAAGGAATGGAAAAGAAAGAAAAGCAGGTTTAGTAAAAGCTGACCTACTGTCAAAAACTTAATTTTCTCTGTCTTTCTTCAAAGTATATTTATCAATACCAATACTTTTTTCAGTAAGAACCATTCCATCAATTTTAAATGTAAAATTCAATAAAATATAGCAAAGAAATGGCATAATTCAGATCCATTTAAACTTTGTTCATGTTCTCTCCCTCCCTCTCTCTCCCCTCTCTGTCCGTGTCTGTCTTCTCCGGTATAGAGCAGAGGGCAATTATATTTTGGCACTGGAGAAGAAATGTGAGTTTGTACAATTAAAGACTGCAATGACTTGCTAATGGTGATCAAACATTTACTATAGATAAATTATAAACCAAGGCTAAACTGTACCTATGGTAAGCAGGCATTTCATGTCTGGCTTAGTCTTTTCATCTTTTCCTGCCAAGCATTTACTACAACAGATGACCCACTTATTTACTGCCATGGAAAAAAAGCATTGCAGTGCTTCCTCTTTGTTCTGGGGAGACAACGGGGCTTAGGGGGACAAACAGTAGTCAAGGGAGACAGGGTCCATGAACACTAACCTGTCTTTGCCATTCTCTGCCTTTGGGATCTTAAGGAAAGCATTTATTCATCCATCCATTCATTCATTTAATCACTTCCTTTGAACTCAGATGATAGCACCAGAGGAGTAGTTGTGAGGAATAGTTTATTAGATAATATGAAAAAGCTTTGCCAACATAAAATGCTTTATTTAATTATTCCTTTAGAAACTGAAATATCATATACAGCTTATTTGTTGAATCAGATTTTTGATTATATAAACTATTCCCTGAGAATAAGTAGAGAATTTTTTAAGGTAACTTTTAGAGCTACTGTAAAAACTTTGTGAGTAAAAAAAAAAAAGCTGTTTCAGAGCCCAGACTGGTATCCTTCTATTTTAAAAGTTATCCTGATTTCAAAGTAGAATAGGCTAAAGGTTTATTTAATGTATTCTTTCAACAAACATTTATTGATCATCTACTATGTACCAAGAATATAGTCTATCCCTTGAAAAATTAGGTACACAAAAATCTCTGAGTACAATAAAATAAGCAAATACTTGTGCAAGGAGAGAAGCAAACGAAAATAATTTTCTTTGAAATGCATATAAACTTAAGCCATATTGGTAAATTTATTTCAGAAAGTAGAGAATAATTCTTTTTTTTTCAGCCTGAGAATCACACCTGTTGCCTGAAATGTCTGGATGACAAGCCTGTTTTCAGTTTTGGATTGTTAAGATATCACATAAAAAAATTTTTTATAGGGGGCTGGCCCCGTGGCCGAGTGGTTGGGTTCGCGCGCTCCGCTGCCGGCGGCCCAGTGTTTCGTTGGTTCCAATCCTGGGCGCGGACATGGCACTGTTCATCAAGCCATGCTGAGGCAGTGTCCCACATGTCACAACTAGAGGGACCCACAACGAAGAATATACAACTATGTACTGAGGGGCTTTGGGGAGAAAAAGGAAAAAATAAAATCTTAAAAAAAAAATTTTTTTTTATAACCACAGTAATACAAATAATTCCAAAGAATGTAAAGTAAAAATGGAACTCTCTCCCCAGTAATCCCATTCCCCAGTTTCTCCCCAGGAGTAACCACTGTTAACCTGTTTATTCCTCCAGACTTTTTTTAACGCACAAAATTATAACAGATGACCCAAGAAAGTAGAAATTTCCAAAGTACTGGGAAGTTTGATAGTCAAACCTCTTCTATAATTGATGAGAACCCAAGAGAATCTTGTTACCCAAAGTTTACCAACAGTGTATTGCCAACATTGAATGCCTCTCCCAGTTGATCGGTGATCTGTTGTGC